CCTTTAAGGGGAGTAAATTCCTGAGGTCTGCTTTTCTTGGCTAATGGCAAAGCCCATTATCCCCATCCTTCAATATTTATGCAAACGCAGCCCTGGAGTCCGTGGTATGGTTTGATTTCCACATTATCAAAGAGAATTACTACAAATAATGTGAATATACTGATGACCTCCCTCAACAAGCAGAGTGGCTCCCCATAGACACTTTAATCACTTCTTCCCTGGTTAGGTGAGATAGAGTTTTGTAGCTCTCATAGGATATTTGTTCCCTGGGACTTCCATGATTATACAACTCCTTCCTGGTTCTTATTACTTAACCTTTCAAGGTCCCACATGACTCCATCTGGCTTCATTTTAGAGGGAGCAGCCCAAGAACCAGACTCACTTTGGCCATTCATTTATTCATGTGATTTGTTAATAGTTGTCTAGTAGCAACAATGACCTCCCCCCAAACTGATCTTACTAAGAGCATGCAACAAGGTCCAGGGAAAATAATCCCAAATAATAATGATGTTGGCTGTGATTATGATGATCACCCCTTACAAGTATAAGGCATTTCAGATATTTTCTTATTTTCTTATCACAGCAGAAGGCATCAGGGAAGACGGCGTTGGAGCTAACTTCTTATTATTCCCATTTTATAAATGAAGATATCAAAGTTCAAAGAGGTTACATGATGTATCTAAGAAGCATGTGCAGTAGATCCAGAACTAGAATTCTTATTAGCTGATTCCAAAGCTAATAGCATTTTTACTTTATTCAGTTTCTTCCTGCCTCTAGAGAACTTTAAACATTTTGGCCAAACATTAAAGAAGAACACTGAAATAAGGTGTTCCCTTTCTTTCACAGCCTGAGTTTCTGATTTGAGTCCACACACATATGAAGGTGCCAGACTTACACGTTGCATCGTTCAGGGAATAAGGTAAACCTAGACATCTACTAGATAAAATCTACTGTCTACTTAAACTTGCCTGGAGAGAGGTAATCAGGAAAAAGTGATTTCTGCTTTGATTTATTTAGAGCTTGGGCTTGAATATTTTGAATATTTCTTGTATCTGTATTGCACAATCAAGGATTATATGTTTCAACACTGTAGAGGTCTTATTAGAACATGTATACTTACCATGTAACATAGATGAAAAGCCCAAGAGGACCTTATAGCTCTGCTAATTATAAGCTTGTTCAACTTTGAGCAAATTATTTTAAGTATTTCAATCTGTTTTTTCTTTTAGGAACTATGATAATATTAGTTATTTTGATTAATTTCAGAGTTGTTAAGAGATCAAATGAGTATCAATATAAAATGTTATTGTATTCTGGGAGCTCATATAATATCTAAGAAGAGAGGGAGAATGAATAGAGAATAATAATAAGGGAAAAATCAGGGTAATAATCAGCTGTAAAATCCACCAAAATGGATGCAACGTCACACAAGACATATTATGGAAATGAATAAATTGAATCTCAAATTCCAATTCTGCCACTAAAAACTTACCTGGGTTGAGCACTCAATTCATTAACTATTACATGGACTTCTTTGTGACTATAGTGTCAATGAGATCAGCCACCATTACACGGTTCTGAGCAAATGAGAAAACAGTGTTCTCTAGGGATGGAGAATGAGAACAGTACACAGTAGTCATCAGTTTATATATGTGTCTCAGAGCACTAGATATCCTGAGGTCAGGGATGATTCTTGTTCATCACTGTAAGCCTGGGACCTGGGCACACCCCCTGGTGCACCATACAGACTTAGTTGTGCTTCTACAGGGAATGAAGGAATGAAGAGCATCCAACACTTTATGCGGCTTATTGGTTGGTGTTACTAAGGAGTTGGGTTCCTTTTTTAACCATGTGAGGAATTTTGGAGGGTTGAAGTATGTTGCAAACTTTTGTAGATCTATTTCTGGTTATTCAGCTAAGATCCAGAAAGGTAGGTTATTTGCACAAAGTTCACACAAACTGGTAAGTATATATGATTTCCAAGTCTGTGCTTTTTAATTCTCCCCCATTGACTTCCGATGATAGATTTAATCACCCAGTCATCAGCCAATCAATCAAGCGTGTTACTTTGTGCCCAGTTTAGTTTATTTATTAATTTTTTAAAAAGATTTTATTTATTTATTTATTTGACAGACAGAGATCACAAGTAGGCAGAGAGAGAGGCAGAGAGAGAGGGGGAAGCAGGCTCCCTGCCGAGCAAGGAGCCCAATGTGGCACTCGATCCCAGGACCCTGGGACCATGACCTGAGCTGAAAGCAGAGGCTTTAACCCACTGAGCCACCCAGGCACCCCTGTGCCCAGTTTAGTTTAAATGGTAAAAAATCAAAAGAATATTTAATCATGCTAAGGAGCTAAGACTTCAATTCAGAATGACTTGGCTTCAAGTCCCAGCTCTGCTACTTTCTTCAGCCGCAAGCAAGTAACTAAATGTCAGAAATTTTCAGCATCCATACCTGTGAAGTGGGGATAACATCTTCCACGATGCATGAGGATTAAGTGAGGTAAAATATTACAGCCTCTAACTTGATGATGGGAACAGGGCAAATGCTCAATAAATCATATCTATAAGAGCTGAAGTCATTATTAATGACTAGTTCCACTTACACAAAATGATAAATTATGATAAGATTTTTTTAGAGTAATGAAGTGATGCATTTGATTGATTATAATGACAGAGTTGTGTCTGAAGAGGTAGGAGCTGGGGAAGACTTCAGGGAAGCTTTGGAACTTGTGTTATTCTTTGAAGACATGAGATTTTGTTTCAGGGGCAGAGGACATTTTGTCAGGAAGATTGCATTTTTTAGTTTGTACTGAGCACCAACAATATAGTGGTCCATTCCATCAGAAGTTTCCATCTGTGGTACAAAGAATGATAACAGGTCAACAAAGGCCTCCAAGAACCATGTAGTTCTTAATTTCTCTCAATGGATTAAAACGAGTTTTAACTTTCTTTTTCCTCCAGGAAGATGTTGATTAAAACTCATGATTTCATTTGTGGAAAACAAAGTTGGTAAAAAGTTTTGAAGTGATTCCTAACACACTGTTGTTGCTTTTCCAGAATTTGGGAACTCTGTATCTATGTTATCAATTCAAGTGAGCAGTTTTTTAAGGAACCAAGAGGGTTTCCTTGTCACCCTGCTCTGTAAAAGTGGCCCTCCTACCACTAATAACAGCAGGGAACTCTGCCTGTCATGGCTCTTAACTGCCTAAATTGCCTTTCCAAATCCTACCCTACCTTGAGACCCATAGGACTAATCTCTTTATTAGATTTAGCGCTATGTCACTCATCACAAAGCTGAGGATGGTCACCTAAGCCCTCAACTCTTACAAAATAATGTATTGCATGGAGTACTGGGTGTGGTGCATAAATAATGAATCTTGGAATACTGAAAAAAAATTAAAATTAAGATGTTAAAAAAATAAAGTCTGTACATCTCTACAAATCCCTTCATTGACCTTGGCTCCCACTCCTGCCCAACTCCTGAAATTATTCTCTGTGCCTTCTGGGATTTGTAGTCATTCATCAGTATGACTTGATACACTTAATGTCTCCTCTGAACGTCTCTTTGCCTACTTGGTCTGAGCAAATCTCCTGTCCTGGGGCAGTGGTTTTCTCTCCTGCATCCCCCCTCCCACTGAATCTCGTGATCATTTCGACCTTGTGAACATTAGAATACTCTGATTTTTGTCTGTCTGTCTGTACTCTTTTCTTTGATGGTGTGCATTTAATATATGCATTAAAAATTGGCAGCCTAGTTCAAATTAATATAATTTGAGGCACAGACCTCTCCTCTAAACTCTGGATTGCATACCCAATTATTTATGCAACGTTCTACTTCGATGGGCAAAAGGTATCTCAGACTCAATTAAATGGTCTCTTTCACCCTTTCCCCAAACACCTGCTTCTTTTACACTATTTTTTTTTTGTATCACTATACAAATCTTGGAGTCTATGTGGACCCCTCTCTTCCTCTCATGACCCTTTTTCAATATATCAGGAAATTCGGTCAGCTCTACTTTGGAAATACGTCCCAAAGTGTATGGATTTCTCATTACCTCTCTCACAACCATCTTGGTTCAGGCAGTCACCATCCTTTACTTAGAATATTACAATGGCCTAATTTTTCCAGCACCTTCTATCCTTATTCTGTTAAATTCAATTACTAACAGATCTACAAGAGTGACCTTTTTTAAAAAAAGAAGTCAGATTATGTCCCCTTCTGGTCCAGATCCTGTAATGTTTTCCAATATCACTCAAAATAAAAGCTTCATAATTTAATGTAGTGTATGGCTCCCCTTGCTCTATGTCTCTCACAAAACTTTCCTTCCCACTGTAGCTTTATTGGTTTTGTTGTTGTTCCTAGAATAATCTCAGCATGTTTAAACCCCAGGATCATGTATTTGTTGTTGCCTCTACCTGAAATTCTCTTTTCCCAAATACAGGCTTGCTCCCCTACTTATTTCATGTGTTTGCTCAACGATATCATCTTAGGCTACAGACATGCTTTATTTAACTATCTTTTACTAACATATACATTATTCTTGACACAATGGCTAAGACAAGGAAAAAAAAAAGGTCAGTTGAAGCAAAATTAACTCATTTTCACATTAATTTTACTAAGCTATTCTAGTTTGATACAAAGAATAATTTATGGTTTGTTGCAAGTTTTGATGTGGGAGTCTGAGCTGTTCCAGTTAGCAACAACTTGGTGACATTACATAAGTCCTTTCTTTTCTTTCTTTTGCCCTAATTCGGTCTTCTATGAAGTTAAGAGATTGGGATGCATTATCTCCAAATCCTTCTTCTGGCATATTCTATAATAATTTAAGATTGCATTTTGTTGTCACAATCATGCTTTAGTTCCTAGAGTGTCCTGGAAACAAGTTCTTGCAATACCAAAATAAGGCACAGAGTGGACATGCTGACTGATTTCAGCGGAGTATAATTCTGGTCCGATTTTCTCACTGCTACTGGGCAGGCACATAATTCCCAACTGACTCTCATGGAGAACAGTACAGAGGTGACTGAGTTCATTCTTGTGGGCTTAACAAATGACCCGAAACTGCAGATTCCTCTCTTCTTAATCTTCTCCCTCATCTACCTCACCACTCTGGCTGGGAACCTGGGCATGATGGTACTGATTCTCTTGGACTCCCATCTCTACACTCCCATGTACTTTTTCCTCAGTAACCTGTCTCTGGTGGACTTTGGTTACTCTACAGCTGTCACTCCCAAGGTCATGGCTGAATTACTTATAGGAGACAAGGTCATCTCTTACAATGCTTGTGTCACCCAGTTCTTTTTTCTTGTAGCCTTTATCACTGTAGAAAGTTTCCTCTTGGCCTCAATGGCCTATGACCGCTATGCAGCAGTGTGCAAACCCCTCTATTACACCATCACCATGACAACAGGGGTGTGTGCTCGTCTGGTCATGGGCTGCTACATCTGCGGCTTTCTGAATGCCTCCATCCACACCGGGAATATTTTCAGGCTCTCCTGTAGAGCTGATGTGGTTGATCACTTCTTCTGTGATGCTCCTCCTCTCCTGGCTCTCTCATGTTCAGACAACTATATCAGTGAGATGGTTATTTTTTTGGTGGTGGGCTTCAATGTCCTCTTTTCTGTCTTGGTCATCTTGATCTCCTACCTGTTTATATTTATCACTATTCTGAGGATGCACTCATCTGAAGGACGCCAGAAGGCCTTTTCCACCTGTGCCTCCCACCTCACTACAGTGTTCATCTTCTATGGGACAGGCACCTTCATGTACTTACAGCCCAGCTCCAGCCATTCCATGGACACGGACAAAGTGGCATCCATGTTCTATACCATGGTTATCCCCGTGCTAAACCCAGTGGTCTATAGCCTGAGGAACAAAGAGGTCAAGAGTGCCTTTAAAAAGACTGTGGAGAAGGCGAAGTCTTCTATAGGATTCATATTTTAACTACAAAGATCTACAATAAGGCACTTTCATCCACCTCAGATCTATCTAGAGAAAATACTTACCTGTCCGGCCCACAAGTTTCTAATTTCTTTCTTTCTTTTTTAAGATTTATTTATTTATTTATTTGATGGGCAGAGATCACAAGTAGGCAGAGAGGCAGGCAGAGAAAGAGAGAAAGAGAGAGAGAGAGAGAGAGAGGAGGAGGAAGCAGGCTCTCCGCTGAGCAGAAAGCCCAATACGGGGCTTGATCCCAGGACCCTGGGATCATGACCCAAGCTGAAGGCACAGGCTTTAACCCACTTAGCCACCTAGGCGCCCCATGTTTCTAATTTCTTATAGTAATATTCCCAGATATTGATTAAGTTTACGCAATTTACATATTTTTTTTTACAAAGTTTACATCTTTAAAAATATGATACCTAAGAATGATAGGTTAAGAAGAATCACCCATAAATATGTTCTTATCTTAAAAATTCTTCTTAATAAACACATTCCTCTGCACTCCCACAAGAACATGTATACTCACAGGTATGTAGCACAGGCACACGCATAGATAATTCATGAGGAACTCATGAAATCCACATACACACCATAGAAGAAAAAACTAGTTAAGACATACATGAGAAGGTCTGTTGTTACAGTAGAATTTAAAACAATTATTTGGTGTCTGAGAGCACAATTTTATCATACATAAATAGTTGACTTAATGGAAAAAAACCTATATATGTCTAGGTTTCTTTTTTTAGATTTTTATTTATTTGACAGGGAGAGAAAAAGGAGCACAAATGGTTGGGGGGGGATGGTGTGCAGCAGAGGGAGAGGGAGAAGCAGGCTCTCTAGTGAACAGAAAGACTGATGTTGGGCTTGGTGTGGGGCTTGATTCCAGGACCCTGGGATCATGACCTGAGCAACCGACTGAGCCAGCCAGGGACCCCATATGTCTGGTTTTTAATAATTATTTTTACATTATCTTTTTGCATATGAAAAGCAATGCTTTATATTTAAAAATTTAAACTTTATGAAAATACTTCCAAAGTTCTTTGAATGTAGATTTATTATTGATTTTCATCTGTTCTTCTTTTCAGTAAAAATTCAAGCCAAGGGACGCCTGGGTAGCTCAGTCGGTTAAGTGGCTGCCTTTAGCTCAGATCATGATCCCAGAGTCCTGGGATTGAGTCCCACACTGGGCTCGCCGCTCAGCAGGGAGCCTGCTTCTCTCTCCACCTCTGCCTGCTGCTCCCCCTGCTCGTGCGAGCGCTCTCTCTCTATCCCTGACAATTAAATAAAATCTTAAAAAAAAAATGCAAGCGAAAAGAGACTCTTAAGCATAGGGAAGAAACTGAGGGTTACTGGAGGGGAAGTGGGTGGGGGATGGGGTAAACAGATGATGGGCATGAAGGAGGGCACCTGTGGTGAACACTGGGTATTGTATGCAAGTGATGAATCACTTAATTCTATCCCTGAAACTAATGCTATACTATATGTTAACTAACTTGAATTGAAATAAAATCTTGATAGCAAAAAAAACCAACAACATGTCTTTGCATGGGTATTTATTTTCCTAGCCAAATTTCCGTATTAATGAGCCCTATATGACAGTTTAATACAGAAAACATATTACACAATACAGGAAAAAGAAAAAGATGACAAGGCACATATTTATTCACTTAAATAAAAACGTAACAATGTTTAAAGTTAAAGCACCAGGAATTACAATGGTTATTAATAACTTACTTGCATGTAATACTATGAATTTGTTAATGTACAAATCTGATAAAATTTTGAGTCTCACTATGTCAAAAATTCTGAATCCATATGAATGTCCATTCCTTTCCCCTGATTTGGGGAGTTTTGGGCTATTGTTTTTTCAAATACCCTTTCTGCGCCTTTCTCCCCTCTCATTAGGTGTATGTTGGTGCTCTTACAGTATCCCACTGTTCTTTGAGACCATTTATTTTTATTGATTTAAAAAAAATTTCTGTTTTTCAGGCTGGATGTTCTCAACTGACTATCTTAAAGCTTACTGAATTTTTTTTTCCTGCCAGCTTCTATCTGCTAATGATCCACTTATTAAACATTATATTTTATTTATTTTTCTTTTCAACTCAAGAATTTCTATTTCTGTTATTAAAAATAATTTCATATCTTTATTACTATTCCATATTTGGTGACACATTGTTTTCATACTTTCCTTAATTCTTTTTTCCCTTTTAATTCTTTTGACCTGGTTTCCTTTAGTTCTCTGACCACATTTACAATATCTTAAATCTTTTCCTATTAAACCCAAAGTTAGCTCAACCTTCAAAATCAATGTAATTCTTTGTATTAATAGACTCAGGACTACAATTATATAATCACCTCAATAGATGCAGAAAAACCTTTGACAAAAATTCATCATATATTTATGATAAAAATTCAGCAAACTATTAATGGTGGAGAATTTCCTAAACATAGTAAGAGACATCCATGAAAAACTTGCAGCTGGCTTCACACTTCCTCATGGAAGACTGAATGCTTTTCTCCAAGATTAGAAATAAGGCAAGGATGTCCCCTCTTAATACTTCTATCCAACATCATGATAGACATCAGTACCCTAAGGCAAGAAAAATAAATGAAAAACATACCACTTGGAATGGAATACATAAAATTCTCTCAATTCAGAGAAGACACAACTTTCTCCTTAGAAAATCCCAGAGAGGGGTGCCTGGGTGGCTCAGTGGGTTAAAGCCTCTGCCTTCGACTCGGGTCATGGTCTCAGAGTCCTGGGATCGAGCCCCGCATCGGGCTCTCTGCTCAGCGGGGAGCTTGCTTCCCCCTCTCTCTCTGCCTGCCTCTCTGCCTACTTGTGATCTCTCTCTCTCTCTGTTAAATAAATAAAATCTTAAAAAAAAAAAAAAAAAGAAAATCCCAGAGAATCTGGCAAGAAGGTACAGAACTAATAAGTTTATCAAGTTCTGAAGAAACAAAGTCAATACACAAAAATCTGTCATAATTCTATGTAATTTTAATAAACATTTAGGAATTAGAATTTAAAACAGTACCGCTTGCAATGGCACCACCAACATGAAGTATTTAAGTAAAAATTTTGCAAGCTATGTGCAAGATATGCTGAAAAATGGATTAAATAAATCAAAGCAGATCTAGATAAATGGAGAATTTTACCATGTTCATAGGTTGGAGGCTTAGATAATTTAAAGATGTCTGTCTTCCCCAAACTAATCAACAAAATTTCAGCCAAAATTCCAGAAAGAATTTTTATAAAAATTGGCAAGCTCATTGTAAAATTTACATGGCAAGTAAAAAAAAAAAACAAAACTAGAATAACTAAAACAATTTTGAAGCAGAACAACAAAATTGGAGCACTCACTCTACCTTCTTTCCAGATTCACTATACAGCTACAATAGTCAAGTAGTATGGTATTGAACAAAGGATAGATGTATTACATTAAATATTACTGAAATGAGTATTAGTTCAAGTTTTTTATTCCAGAAAACAAGACAAGTCCAAAAAAAAAAAAAAAAAAGACAAGTCATAGACTTGGAGAAAGGATCTTCAAATTGCACCAGTCCTTATCAGTAAAGGGCTCCTATTTTGGATACATAAAGTAGTCTCAAATCCCAGTAATAAAAAAACAAATACAATGAAATACAATAAAAATGGACAGAATTTTTTTTACAGTTTTTATTTAAATTCCATAGGTTAAGGTACAATGTAATATTAGTTTCAGGTGTCTAATGTAGTTATTCAACACTTCCATACATCATGGGTGCTCATCACAGCAAGGGTGTTCCTTAATACCCATCACCTATTTCACCCATCTCCTACCTACCTCCCTTCTGTTAACCATCAGTTTGTTCTCTATAGCTAAGAGTCTGTTTTTTGGTTTGCTTCTTTCTCTTTTTTCTTTCCTTTGCTTGTTTTGTTCCTTAAATTTCACATATGAGTGAAACCAATGGTATTTGTCTGTCTTTGACTTACTTATTTCGCTTAGCATAATTCTCTGTAGCTCCATCCATGTCATTGCAAATGGCAAGATTTCATTCTTCTTGATGGCTGAGTAATATTCCATTATAGATTCCATATATAGATTCCATAATGGAATATTCCATTAGTCTACATGGAAATAGTCTATATGGAAATTATAATAGTCTATATGGAAATTAGTCTATATATATATGTATGTATGAATATATATGTATGTGGGTATATATATCACATCTCCTTTGTTCAGTTGATGGACTCTTGGGCTCTTTCCATAATTTGGCTATTGTAGATTATGCTACTATAAACATCGGGGTGCATGTATCAAAAACAGGCAAAAGATTTTACACAGACATTTCACAAAAGAAGATCCCTGGGATGGCAAGTAAGCACATAAAAAGATGTTCAGCATCATTAGTCAAATGCAAATTAATACAACAAGGAGATATACTACAAACCTATTAGAATAACTAATGTAAAAAAAAAGCCCACCTGTAAATATAAAATACCATAAAGGATGTGAAGCCATTGGAACTCTTCCTACATTGCTGGTGGGAATGCAAAAATAATATGCTATTTTAGAAAATAGGTTGGCAGTTTCACATAACCTAGAAATCTCATTCCTAACAATCTACCCAAGTGAAATAAAAACACATGTTCACACAAAATCCTGGGTGTGAATGTTCATAGGATCCTTATTTGTATTAGTTAAAAACTGGAAATAACACATTTCCCTCAACTGAAAAATGGATAAATAATCTGAATTCATAGAGTGCATCTCAGAAATAAAAAGGAACCAATTACAAAACAACTACACAACTCCATAAATTTCAAATGCATTATGTTAAGGGAGAGAAGCATGATTCAAGAGATGACTTACTGTATTATTCTTTTTTTGTGACATTCTTACAAAGCCAAAACCACAGGGACTGAAAACAAATTAGCAGTTGCGAGGAGGTGGAAGGAGGGGTCAATTACAAAAGGTGGTGGAAAATTTGGGGGGTTACTAAACTGTTCT